GATAGTGTTGTAAATTGGAGAGAGGAAGTTGTCCTCATTTCCTACATTTGAGAATGTAGGAACGAAAGTGGAAATTTATAATTTCCTGAGTTAAGCTAGGAGAAAGGGTGGATTTGAAGTCCTGTTTGCCATACATTAGGAAGTCACAGAGGAAACCAGTCCTCCTGTGGAGTGTTAAGATAATTAAAAAGCAGGAAATTAGACTGAAGTGGCTCTAGTAACCTGTGTTCATAAGTTAAAAAAAACCTAACTCGATTTCTTACAAATTACTATTTTTAGGCAGAAACAAAATTCAGGCTTAACCAATCATAAACCTGCAATTAACCTCTGATTACATAACCAGGAAATTTCCACCTGAATCATACAAATAAGATGACTACATAACTAACCACTTTTTGAATTTGGTTTGCCTTCTCACACGCCCTTCATAAAACCCTTTCCTTTATGCCGCTCAGGTGGGCCACATATTATGGCTGGGTGCTTTCCATTTCACCAATCACTGCTCAAATAAACTCGTTAACGTTTTAACACTGACTCCCTTTAATATTTAATAGAAGAGGCTGGGCGCGGTGATTCATGCTTGTAATCTTAGCACTTTGGGAGGCCATGGCGGGCGGATCACTTGAGGCCAGGAGTTCCAGACCAGTTTCTACTATGGTGAAACCACTTCTCTACTAGAAACACAAAAATTTGCCAGGCGTGGTGGCGCAGGTCTGAATCCCTGCTTCTCGCGTGTGCTGAGCTACGGGAATCGCTTGAGCCTGGTAGGCGGAGGTCGCAGCGATCACGCCACTGCACTCCAGCATGGCTGACAGAGCAAGACTCCGTCTCAAACAAAATGTTTAACAAAAGAGACTGGGAGTCTCACCTGCCGCAGCTCCTCCCACGGACACACCGAGTCAGGATTCTGCCCTGATGACCCGCCTGGCATCCCTGAACAATCCGGGAAATACTCGGGGCTGCGTGCAGAGCTGCCCAGGGAGCTCCAGACAGGGCTCCGCACAGTAGGGTCGGGGCGAGACGCCGGGGTCCCGGCTGCGGGCCCAGCCGCCATCTTACTGCAAGAGGGACCTAGGGTGGAGCTGCGCCAGCGGGGACTCAGGTGGGAGACCCGGGAGCGGACTGTGGGGAGGCCGGTACCACCGCTCTCCCCTCTCGGGATGCCCAACCCCGCACACTCACCTTTTCCCATCTTCCATGATGTCCTGGTATCTTAACTGTGCGTCTCCCAGAACCTGCAGATAACAGGGCAACAGAGATTGTGACAGTCACCGGGGGCTCCCAAGGTGGAGGATGAAGAACAGCAGAGACCGATCCCAAGCTCTGGCGCCAGCGAGATACAAAAGCCCCACCGAATGCCGGAAGCCACGCCCTCCTCTCCAACTGGGCGGTTCCCGCGCCAGCGCCACTGATTGGATAAAGCACCAGCATTCTGTCCATACCACCCGCCTCCTCTCAGCGTTAGTGCATTTTACGGATAGGAAAACAGGGTGAAGTAGGTAGGGTAACGGGCACAGGGAATTACAGCTAATTAAGAAGTGAGCTGAGACTTGAGATGCACTTGCTCTTTCCCTTACCTGGGTCTGCTTGTATAATGCATCTTATTTACTACTTAAGGGTATGAAAAGAACATTTGGACTGTGGTTTGTTTGTTTTGTTTTGTTTTGGTACCTAGTTTCGCTCTTTTTGCCCAGGCTGGAGTGCAATGGTGCGATCTTGGCTCACTGCAATCTCCGTCTCCCGGGTTCAAGCGATTCTCCTGCCTCACTGCCTCAGCCTCCCGAGTAACTGAGATTGCAGGCATGCCCTGCTACCTTTTTTTTTTTTTTGAGACGGAGTCTGGCTCTGTCGCCCAGGCTGGAGTGCAGTGGCCGGATCTCAGCTCACTGCAAGCTCCGCCTCCTGGGTTTACGCCATTCTC